CCTAAACATCTGTACCCCCATAATATGCTGAAATAAAAAAAAAAAAAAAAGAAACTCTTTGGACAGTTAAGCCCATTCACTGAAAATTATTAATATTTTTAATAATTCAAACAAACACATCCAGTGGTTAAATGAAGAATGTAAAACATTCACCTATGAAAGCATGGTGCAATCCAGGGAACAATTTTGGTTCTATCAAAAAAAAAAAAAAACACAAAATCCATACTATACGCTATGAAGTCTTCTCTAGCATAGCTGCTCCTCCATAGCTACTTTTGTTATTATAAAAATATACTTAAACACAAAGAATAATGATGCTACTTGACAAAACTTGAAAGCAAGACAACAAATGAAGGTGTGTAGAATTCTAAATAAAAACTACATATTTAAACTAATATATTTTTAAAGCTAGTATCTATTAAGTTGGTGGTGATAATATTTATCAAATTCATTATAAAGAATAAAATCGTAAGAGATGTGCAACTTCCATTTCTGAATCAACTAAACAGAAATTTAAATTACAAAATTACTAGAGTGAATTTATTTAAGATACATTTTGTGTATTATATGAAGTTCTGTGGACATTTTACAAACTGAATTTACTAACCCAGCCAAAGTAATAAAATCCGCTCAAAATATTTAGGCATAATACAAAAGGGAAAACTCAGTCAACTATTAAGTGAGACTCTCAGGTTTAAGGGCAGTCTCAACATCCCCTGGTTCCAGGGCAGCAATTTCTTAGAGTGTGATAGAATAAGAGTATTAAATCTCAAAGTGCAGAGGGACCATTGTAAGAGTCAGTGATTGGACAATGTTGCCAAGAGAAAGAAATGTGATGTTTCTGTTGGAAAAGTAAGGTTCAAATCAACTTAACTATCCTACTAAAAATACTTGAAAAAATTCCAATCCAACTTGAATTGAATGCTGTTAATTTGCTTTCAATTATAGGCCTCCTAGTAATTTCATTAATTTGAAGGTCTAAATTGCAATATTATCTTTGCAACAATGATTACTTTTTTAAAAAGAATGGTGTTCTGATTCAGTCCAATAGTTTAGGTTATTTAGGGCTAACACCAGTTCACTCATAGTCCAGAACTCTGTGAAAAAAATTTTTGATTCATGGAAATATAGCTGCTATACTTTGTTTTCAAGTGATCCAGCCTACAACTTGCATTATTTGCTATTTTAGAGATTCAAAGAGGGAGGGAGGGAAGGAGGAAGAGAGAAAGAGAAATGTCTTGATGATCTAGTCATTACTTCCATTTCTGAAACAGTATGTGAGAAAATTACCGGGCAATGATAATGGTGTTAATAGTCCTCACAGCGCTTGCCTAGGTAGTTGTATTATCAGTTTGGGTTTGGCAACTAGCAAAACAGAAACCACAGTGCTACTTAACTTATATTTAGTTAATTATTAGAATTTTTAACACAGGGAAAGCTTTCTTTTTAGATTTGCTGCCCATTATACCTGCATATTATGTGACTTGATTATTTTGCCCATATCTCCCTCTACTGGAAGTTCCAGTTCTGCTTTATTATATGCTTTACTTGTAGTGTTTACTTAGTCTTATTTTTTGCGTACCCCATATCACTATTCCACAGAGGTTTCTTATAAGATAGATTACAAGACAGGTCCTTATACAACAGGTTAATTGGGCATCAGGGAGGGAGGGGGAGAAAAAGGCAAAGGAGGTTATTTTTTATATATAGGAGACCAGGATATCTTTAAGTTCATTTTGGATATCTTTAAGTTCATTCAAAATAATGAGACCAGGATATCTTAAAGTTCATTTTCTTAAGTTCAGTTTGTTTGTTTTTTATGCCAGAGACCAATGTGCAAGGAAAGATAGAAAAGTCATATATATACATGTTATATTATGAAAATATTAAGGTAGAAAAATGCATAAAATTTCAAAAATAAAAACAATGAGTATGTATTTACAATTAATAAATAAAAATAAAATTTCAAAAATAATTGTTATCGTACTTGAATGTTACACAGCACTTTAAGGAAGAGAGTACTGTCAGGGTTTACAATAACTCATCTCTATTACTGCTAACATTCACTGCATGTATACTATGTGCCAGGCACCAGGTAAACACTTTGCCTTTCATGTGCCAGCTTTATAAGCTAGTTACACAGTGCTCTTATCCCTATTTACAGAGGAAAAAACTGAGACTTAGGGAAGCTGTAATGTATCCAAGTTGGCACAAACACTAGATGGCAGGGCAGGTGAACCAAGGCAGTTTAACTTCAGACCTGGCTCTTAATTCCGATGTTCCATTAGCGTGCTACAGTAGTAAGTACAGTGGACAATAAAGAAAATCAGGCAAGACAACAATAAAGAAAGCAGTAGGCAGACTTGACCATCAAAACCAAATCTGGCAAGAATTTCCTCTAGCAGAGGTCACTACATGGTAGCATCTTAAGGCATTTCACACTCACTTTATCTTCTTAATTCTTCTACTTTCTTCTCTCCCCTCAACACCTCCCTTTCCATAAGAAGTAATGTTAAGGTTTCAAGAAATTAAAAAGTAACATATAAAATAATTAATAGTCTTTGAAAAGGGAATATTTTTGTAAGATTTTATTGTGGTCTATTTCTAGAAACAAAATAACCCTACTGCTTCATGCCAAGCTGTAAACCAATAATACATTGCACACAGCATGAATGAATGAATGACAGCAATCTTTCAATACACTTACTGCTGTAGCAACATCAATTACATACACAAGGAGAAACAAAATCTCCTAAAACTCTGTGAAGGTAGTAATCACTACGACTTCAATAGGACTGCTGAACCTTTTAGGCATAAAACCTCATTGCAGCTCAAATGTTTGTAATCTCACGATCAAACAAGAGTGATTTAGAACATTTAGAATGTGATATAAGATAAAATGCAATTATGTGCTAAATTTTGAGATTTAACTGTGTTACAGGGGTTAGGGGAAAGGTCACTACTGTCATTATCACACAGTCCTAGATCTGTTCTATGGTCCAGTAATTTAAGAATAACTCAACAGTGCTCTCTTAATAATAATCTTCACAAGGACATAGAAATATTTTGTATTCATTTGTACATGAATGTCCCACAGATGTCTTCAACTGAAAAGGTTCAAAACTGAACTGAAAGTTCTCATGCTCCCAAAACCTTTCCCTTCTTCTATCATGTAATAGCCTATCACCCCACCCAGGGCCCTTTACATTATCTTAAGTGCTTCTTGTGCCCTCAATCCACATGCCCAGCCACCCATCAAGTCTGATGTAAAAGTGTCTCTCCTTTGGAACCTCCTTCCCCTATCACTGCTATAGTTCAAACCCTATTAATGCTCACCAATGATACTGCAATAGTTTACAGTTGATTTTTTTCCTTATCGATAAAACTCCCATAGCACTGTGCTCAATAAGTATTGGTTGAATTGAATTGAACTTGTTTTCTAAAATGGAAATTTACTTTTATTCAATACAAATTTAGTTAAACATTTTAAGTCTTTGGCTGCCACAACAATTGAGTTTGGGCTTCCATCTTTGATAATTGTTTAATACAGTTTAACCAAAGGTTAGTCCGTTTTACTGAACTATGAAAATTAAAGATGAGATAAGTTTTATGAATGTTTGAGTCTATACATAA